AGCTGGGTCATTTCACATCCTGAACTGCTAAAGCGGAGGAGAGCGGAGCTCAGTATCTCGATGGGAATCTCCTAAAGCAAGTGTACTCAAGCAGGAAAAGGGCCTAATGCTGACTGATGTCGGACTTCTTGCTAAGCTGAAATGGTAAGTGTTATGCTGCTAAGATTTCTGTTTTAATGAGTTAAAATTTGATTTGATCACATGGTCTTAATATATTGTTTATGAATTCCAGGTTCTGTGATAACTTGCCTAAGTGCTTTTTGTCTTGTAACTAACTTGCAATCAATTACCTTTGTAGGTTTTTTTTGTAATGAGCTATGATCTTCTCTTTACTGATGAAGAGGTGGCTCCTAGTTTAAGTAAAGGTGAAACGCACATCTCCGTACGCATACCTGATACATATTATGTACTTCTCTTTTTGGAAGAAGTACAGGGTGAAAGCAAACTAAAAATCAGAAACCAATCTTGAAAACAGTTGTGCCCATATTTCAATTCAAACACTAATAAAGCCACTGAAATCTGTTGGCAAGAAATAGGCTTTGCACTTGAATGAAACTGTATAAAAGGCGTTATATAGGTTTTTATCCTATATTGCACAGACTTTAAAAGCTTACATTGGTTTTTTTATGTTTTAAAATAATAATATGTCCAGATTAGATTAAGAAATACTTTAACTACCTTTCCAGGAATATTGGAAGCGATGGTTCCCCCATTTCCCTATAGTGTGTATTATGTTGTCCAGCTCTCCCCAATCTCTTTCATTTACTTTACCTGAAGAAGCAACGGCAATCTCTCAGGTAATTGTGAACTGTATCCTTTGAGTCAGATTTTGTGCTAATTCTCCAGGGGTGTTTCTACGTTGCACGATGAAGGTCCAAGATGTGAGCTAGTGGTGAATGAACTGATACAGCTAAACGGCTCATCATGCTTCCATGCAGAAACACTAGGCTGGGTCCCAGAAAGACTGCGTTAATGTGTACGGCTCCTGGCCTAATCAGCCCTACTTCCCAAGTCTAATTGTTAACCTCTGAGCATGAATAATTAGCCAGACTGCAGTAGTGCTCTAATGCAACGATACAGTTTCCTATTCCGGTGCTAGCTTGTTCAAAGCCTGTTCAGCAGTATCTTCTGATTGCTCCTCTTTATAGCATACATACGCTCTTAAAAGGTAGGTATAGCCCAGAGGCTGCTGTGATAACACCTATCCTATTTCACACAGTATTTCTGAGCAGCCTCGCAACAGTTCTGGAGGTTGTGGTGTTACCCAGAATCTCTGCAACATCGTCCAGCTCCCGATGCTTGCTTTACCCTGAGGCTTGTAAAGATGTTTTCTGAAGAGAGCTGCATGGAAAGAAGGAATCCTGTTTGTCCTGGGAAAACCTCTCATTAGCTAGAATTAGGCTTTTTAAGCATTACTGAGAGGCTAAGTATTGTATTTATGTACCTATGATACAGGCTGCAGTTTCCTTCTCCTAAAATGGCTAGAGATTTTGAAATCCCTCTTTCTAAAATTACTACATATGCAACAAGTTATAGCATAGGTATTAATTTAAAAGATATATTAAAAAGCATATAAAATGAGCACTTTCTTTTAATTTTTTACTTAATTATGTTTTGAACCAGGTTGTCTCATTATATCATCTGATTACATTTTTCGAAGAATCATATAAACGTGTGTGGCAAACTGGTAGCTAAGCAAAAAGTCGATTGAAGTTTACAGTGTTTAATGGAAATTATTTTTTCCTAATCCTGAAAGGCATGTAAGTTGAGTGAACTCAAATACATATTTATTCATCGTTTTTATAATTTATTTATTTCTGCTTCATTACCCAATTCCTCAACATGTATTCTGCTTGGTGAATGTTTTCAGTGATGCATGCAATCTACAAACCCAGTTAATGTGTCAGAGTTTAATTGAAGTGTGCCCAAGTATGGAATTTAATCTTCAGAGACTAAAATTTAGGGGTTATATGACCACCGGCTTGCTAAAACATCCATGTAGGCCACCACAGCATGTGGCACATTTATTCATTTTGTGGATCCCCACAGACCAAATGCATTTCTCATGTAATGTGATTTAGCTTAAACATTTCACTCCAGAAATTACATTGTTGATCTGTGGTCTCATCTGCTTATTTCGATAAATTCTGATGTCAGTATTATTCTAATACAGTATTTTCATATTGATCTAGAATAACTTGCATTTTCCTTTCATATGGAAAATAGGACTAAAGCTAAATTAAGTGTGATGGAAAGGAACATTACCTGCAGGGTGACTTGAAAATGAAAAAAATAATTGAAGTAATTTTTGTTTCATGATATAGAGACTTAAGACAGCAGTATTTCCCCTGAGTTTTTATTGCAGTCTATAAAAATGATTTTAAGTAAAAATGAGAGGAAAATCAAGAAACTGATGCCTTGAGAGGGGAAATTTATTTTGGGTGGCTTTCAAAGCCTTTGCTTTCTATTAGTAACTTCATTACAGACACTTTGGTGGAAAAAAATAATCTTTGACAAGGATTTAATACCCCTCCTTTTCTAGTTGCTGAGGAAACTTCCTGTAATAATCATTCAATGATACAATTCATCCAACTACTCCATCAAAAATAGATTATTTGTCCTCAGATGTCAGCCTCGCATTTCCTAACATCTCAATTTATGATTTACTTACACACCTGTGGGGCAAAAAAAACCCCGAAAACCTTTCCTGTTTATTTCTCTTTCTCGGCATCGTGCCAGGTGAGGAGGGTGCGAGCCCCCGCCGGTGGGCAGCCAGGCGGGACTCCCG